TGAAAAGATGTTCAATACTGGTAACTGATAATTGATAGGGAAATGTAAATCAAAACCACAATGAGATGCCACTTCATACCCACTAGGGTGGCTATTACCAAAAACAAACAAACAAACAAACAAAAAAACAGAAAATAACAGGTTTTGGTGATCACATGGAATAACGGAAACTTTGTGCACAGCTGGTGGGAGGTAAAATGGTGCAGCCACTGTAGAAAACCGTATGGTGGGTTCTCCAAAAATGAAACATAGGCTTACCTAATACTATCCAACAATTTCACTTCTGGAATTTCAAAATAAGTGAAAGCAGGGAGTCCTCTGGATATCTGTATACACATGTTCATAGCAACATCGTTCACAAGAGCCAAAAGGTAAAGCAACCTAAGCATCCGCTGACAGATGAACAGATAGACAAAATGTGGTGTATTCACCCAGAATGGTTATTCAGCCTTAATAAAGAAGATTTGACATTGAAAACACTGTGCTAAGAGTAAACCATTCCCTAAGAAACACGTATTACATGCTTCTATTTATATGAGGTGCCTGGAGTTGGTCACTGGTTCATGGGGAAGGAGTTGCAGCCTGGGAACATGGAAACATTCTGGAGATGGATGGCGGTGACGGTTGCATAACAGCATGAATGTACTTAATGCCACTTAATTGTACACTTATAAACAGATAAAATGGTAATTTTTTATGTAGCTTTTTCCACCAACAACAAAAAACTGCAACATCTATTTCAAAGTGTTACACTGTAGTGTGAAGGAGCTTCCTTCATGCATTTGGAGATTTCCTTGAAGGCTCCATGTGCCCCAGGTCATTTGTATATCTTGACAAAGTGCCTGGCTTGAACCGAGTCCAACCTCCTGAGACATAAGGTTCAAGAGTTATAAAAAGAACAAGCAAAGAAACAAGTCACGGATACCTACCATGCAGTAGGCACTGTATTTTGTAGTAATGATACATAAAGTGTTAGCACAAAATGAGCAATGTTAGCACTACTTTCCACAAAATATGGTGCATGCCAGGTGGGACCCCATGCTCAGTGTGTGGAAGGAGAGGAGCAAATCTTGGTTTTCTGCTCTGAAAATGCCAAAGATAGCAGGTAAGTACAACTATTCAAAGAACTGCAGATATATTTCATATTTTTAAGATGAAAATTATAAAGTTGTAATAGTTTAACTCTCTATAAAGCAACTTCTAACTGCTGATAAATATCTAATCCATTAAAGTGTGATAAAAACATCAAATGGAAATAGTGGAGATGAATGAGTACCAATTAGGAACAGACACGATTAAAACATTTCTTGTTTAAAGTTTTCTTGCATTTGCACATCTAACAGGTTACTGTGGCAACTCAGTTATCTTGAGATACTCAGAGATTAGATGAAAACACCATACTGTTGAAAATCCACGTTCTCACTTTTACTAATTATACTTTAAAAAAAAGATGACAATTGTTGGAGACTAAATTTAAAAAAAAAAACAATATTAGAACATGTTGTTCACAGGTGAACAGTCTTCAAGATCAGTAAGTTCAGGAAAAGAAATGAGGAAAAACGGCCTCCCCCATACTCTTATCACCTTAAACAGCTCTCACCTCCTTGTGTGTGTCTGTGTGTGTGTGTGTGCATGTGTGAGTGTGTGTGTATCTGTGTTTGACTGGGGTTGGAGAAGTAATTACAAACTAAATATTATAATATGAGATGTGACATATGGGTTCTGAAAATTAGAAAGCAGGTAAGAGGAAATCATCGTAACTTTTAAAAACACTTCCCATTGAAGCCCAGGAGCACTTGAATTCAGAAGAGCCACACGGATTCAGGCTGCTGCGGGTACCATAAGAACACCTTCTGAGAATCGTTCGTGACGGCGGTCCCCCAGCCTCTCTTTGCTTCTCGGGGCTGGGAACGAGACAGAAAGCCCCGCAGCCGACAGCAGAAGCAAAGGGGCACAAAGCTCACACAAGCACGTGCGACCGTCTCGCAGCCAAGGAAATACAGCAACCGAGCCAACAGGAGACGTGAGGCCAGAAGCGGACAGTGCCCCCAGCTCCGAACGACATCCAGTGGTCTGCCGCTTACAGGCTGCCTCTGGCATATTGCAAACTTCCTGCCTGGTGTTCAGAGCCACACCTGCTCAGAGAGGACACATCAGTCGCTTTAAAACTCACGTCAGGAGGATTTATAATCTTTGGACTCCTTTCCAAGTGGGAAGCAAAATGATTCAAACTGTTCAGCTTCCCAAAAACACAGGGAAATGAAGGACTTGTAGGTTTTCTGCTCCGAACAGTTCAGCAATCGTGTCTTCAATCAGTCAGGTCTTGAGGTTTCAGCACCAGCGAGAGAATGCATGGCAGTGAGTGACTATAGGGGGTGAGTGAAGCTCGTGGTGACACACCTGCACCTTTACTGTGAACGGTGGGCAACTTCATCAAGCTACTACCCTGTCCCTGACCAGCATCCATTTGCTGCCTACAAACTTTTATTTACTTGACATGAAGATCTTCCACGAAGCCTTTTCCAGTCTAGAGAATGTTTAATTATCACCACCAAAAGTTAAGGGGTTTTCCTGGCAAGTTTGGCTGCTGATCCCTAAGGTGTCAGATTCTAATAGAACCACCTCCAAGCCTCACTGGCTTCTTTGAATATAAGTCTGTTCCTGACTCACAGCTGACCCCAGGAGCCAGGTCCCTCCACTGTGATCTGCACCTTCCTCGCCACCTGTGTCCTCTTCAGCCAGTGCCGGGGTCTTCCCCAGCCAGGCCTGATGTCACACTGCTGTCTCCTTCTTAGCTGAAGTCCAGACACAAGGGCCTCACCAGATATGACAGGACAGTAAAATGAGCTCAGCTGTGGGCCTGAGGCTCAATTCATAAATGTCTATTTGTAATCAACTTAGGCAATTTATCTCTTCATAGATCAACATTTTCAGTTCCAGAGTTTACTTTCCTTGGGAACAGGACAAGAAGGGATATGTCTGCCCTCCAGGCTCGTGTGCCGGACCACACGGGTGGGCTGGAACCCTTGACAGCTCACGTTTGCCTTCAGCCCTCATTGCTCTCCCCTCCACTGCCCTCACCTCCCACTACAGACTCTGCCGCAACACAGCCCTCCCATCCCCACATCACTTCCAGTTCATCCGGGTACCCAGCCCAGTCCAAAATGGGTGAGTCCACTGTTTCATGGTCTCCAGGATGACCTACAAGCTGATAATACGATGAATGCTAAAGTCTTGGTGGGAAAGAGCAAAGTGTTTCTCATAAAACGGACCCTAAATCCATTGGATCAAAATCACTGAGGGTGTTTGTTAAATTTGCAACATCTAAACCAGGAACTGGGAATTAGAATCTTCAGAAACAACTGAAATCAACATTTTAAGAAACACCTCAAGGTGACTCTCCTACACATCAAATTGTAAGAACTAAAGGGTTACCCTTACAACTTCCCTGATAACATATCTGGGTTTGATTACAGTGAGTCACTGTGTGTGTCAATGACGTGGGGGAAGAAATGGAGCATACTAGCCCCCAACACCACAGCTGTTGCTGGAATTGTTTTTCTTTAGGGAAAGCACCCGATCCTCAGTTACTTAGTCTACAAATGGTTAACAATACTATTTAACCAGTTACTACCTGAAAGCATTGAATGTTGACCTATGGATTGACAATCCTGTTTAAAAGTTGCAAACTGAAAAAAAATCCATTTTTCACTAAGAAGATAACCTGGAAGGTGACAAAAATCAATAGGAAGACAAGCAGTAAAAGTTCACAGTTTCAACATCTGCGTCTCTAACCTTTGAGCATCTGAGGATGTCACTCAGTGTCCTCTGTCCAACCACTGGCCTCTAACGTCTCCCAGGGACACCACATATACCACAGCCTTCCTGCGGCCCCACATCCGGCTGTCACAGCTCCTCCATACAGTCTCATGTTACCCTACTTACCCTATATGTGGAATTTTGCTTAGTCTACTTTACTCTAAAATTCCCTGACAAAATGTACCTTTTAAAAAGGCCTGGTTCATGGGGCGCCTGGGTGGCTCAGTGGGTTAAAGCCTCTGCCTTCAGCTCAGGTCACGATCCCAGGATCCTGGGATCGAACCCCACATCGGGCTCTCTGCTCAGCGGAGAGCCTGCTTCCTCCTCTCTCTCTGCCTGCCTCTCTGCCTACTTGTGATCTCTGTCTGTTAAATAAATAAATAAAATCTTTAAAAAAAAAAACTTTAAAAAAAAAAAAAAAAGGCCTGGTTCCTTTGTACCAGGAACAAGGAACTATTCCAAACATCCCCTGGGTTTATTCCAGGGAATTAGCTCCCTACCTCACATATTTCTGGAGCATGCTGATTTCAACCTATTTTAGTAGGCAGAGCAAAAATAGTTTTCTTACATGGCAAGGTCTATCAATCAGGAGTGGCTGAACAGGGTGCTGGGGTGGGGTGGGGGGTGATCTACCGTATTGCATGCATCTGGGAAGAGCTGAGGTTGACTAGACGTCCGTTCTATGTAACTTCTACACAGAACAATTCAGACCCACAGGGCTCATAACCAATTAGAATCGGGGACACCGAACAGTGAAGCAAGCTTTCATTTAAATTCACATCATAAAACCCACTGTCATAGATTGTCAGTGATGTCTGTGCTCAAAGGATACTTGAATTGTTTGTTATGATTAAACCACAGGAATTTCATTTGCTTCTCTCAGTCCTTCATTCTCTTGGTCCATGAATTTCAAGTGGATTTTTTTGAAAGATCACTTCATGAAGGCAAATGCAATGTTCAAAGCACCTCTGGGTGCCTTCACAGGGCTGTTCGCATGCCAGATATACTTAGGATAGCAGAGGTTAAATAAATAGAGATTTAGCAAGTTCAGGTTTCTCTGTTTTCCCAGATCTCAGTTGTTCAGCAAAAACCATCATTAAAGAAGCAAGCAACCACTGCTGATGAAGTCTGAGCAGTAACAGTTCATAAGAAGAATAAAATCAATGAGACAGTTGGTCAAAGAAACATGTGAAATTCAATGTTAATACAAATGCCACAAAGGGTTAGAGACATTGCAATTCAAGGGACTGAGGACTTAAAGTATGAAACTTTTTTGAATTCTCTGGAGGATTTGTTACAAGGAAGGAGATTCTTCATCCACATTTCTGCCAGGCATATATACTTCTGTGACGACAATAATGCCTGGAGGAAAACATTAGATTTTTAATTTGTCTATAATTTGTATTATATATCATTTCATATACTTAACTACCTAGGAAATATTAGATAGGCTTCAAATGACATCAAATAAAATAAGTGCACTGTTCTTGTCGCAGAACTTTAACACTGTCCAACTAACAACATCCACGAAGCAAACATCTCTTGAGTTCTGTGACAGCGCTAAATGTGAACTCCACTCCTAATACAAAATTTAAAATGAGCCAGGATGTCCATTCAACTTCTTCACAAATAAACTGAACACTCACAAAAAACAGCAGACCACAAATAGCGGTCAGTACTGCAATAAACTGAAAAAGATTTCCCTTAGCGTCCATGTGTCTTCATGACTCAAATAAATGACTCCTTAAAAAATAACAGAAAAGAAAATTAAATTATAAAGAGAGAATAATACCTGTTTTCACAGTTTAGAATATATGTAAATGCATATATATTTTAAAAATATGATATTCAGGATACCTAGCTAGAAAAAACTAAACAACATTAAGCAGCTTTATAACTTAGGTTTTCAAACAAAAATTAAATATTATAACATGTCTGATAGAAAACACATTTTGTGGAAAAGTCATTTAACAAAGGTATTTCCTCTAAGTGACCCCCTAGTGACTGGGAACTAAGTTCTAGAGATACACAGACTGCAAGGCTAAGGCCAACACCCTGTTACTGGTCAGGGGAATGACGTTTGAGGCAGCTGTCCAGGCTGCAGCAGGAAGGACCCCTTTCTCCCCAGCAGCACCTGGATTTCTGAGGAGGAACCTGTGACTGAGGGGTTGGAGAGGAAAGAGAAGGAGGCAGTCGAGAATACCAAATGGGCTTCCTATTGTCTGCTTCATGATGTCAGCAGGACTGCCCATGGGCCTCTGGATATGCCACACTTGATCTCACGTCAGGCCCAGTGACACCCCAAAGCCCCAGCTGCCAAGGCCACAACACCTCCTACTCTCCCACCAACCAAATGCATCCACAAGAGCCAGCTGTTAGAGGAGAAACCACAAACAAGCTACAGCGCCACCTTCCAAAATAGAAAAGAAAGGTTTCTAATGGCCAGCCTGTTGAACAGTAAGATCCAAAGTAAACATAAAACACTACCTCAAAGGCTAAAGCAGATGTGCATGTTTTCAAATACCACAAACATTCAAGGAAATACGGTATCACAAAAAAGAAACTAATTCTCCAGCAACCGAACTCAGAGGCACAGAATACCGCACTCTGATAAATAATTTGAAATAGTTGTCATGAAGAAATTCAACAAGCTATAAGAAAACTCAGAAAGGTCATTCAGGGAACTCAGGAACAAAATTAATGAACACAGCAGTTCTTTACCAAAGAGATTAAAATTATATGGAAGAACCAAACAAATTCTAGAACTGAAGAATTCGATAAATGAGATGGAGAATGAACCATGAGTACCAGGCAGACCAGATGGGAGAGAGAATAAGTGACTTGGAGGATAGGAATAGAGAAATAGTTCAGTTTGATGAGGAGAGAAAACTAAGATTTTAAAATAGTGAAGAAACCCAGCAAGAGCTATCAGTTTCAATTAGAAAGGTCAAAAAGGCAAATATAAGAGTAAATGGTATACCAGAAAGAGAAAAGGGGGAGAAGCAGACAAAAGAAATAATAGCTGGCAACTTCCCAAACCTGGGAAGAAATTGGTATGATTCCACAAAATGACTAAAACAGCCTATTATCTCAATGCAAAAAAAATCTTTCCAGAACACATTATAATGAAACTGTCAAAAATCAATGATCAGGGACCTTCCAGGCAGCCAGGGAAAGGAAAGTAATCTTGCAAAAAGAAACCCTAGTAGGCTTTCAGCAGATTTCTCAGCAGAAACTCTGCAGGCCTGGAAAGAGTAGAATGACTCAAAGTGTTGAAAGAGAGAGACTGCCAGCCAAATATACTTTGTTTGGCAAATATACTTTGGAGAAATGAAAGCTTTACCAGATAAAAGCTAAAAAAAAAAGTTACTACCATGAGGCTTGACTTGCAAGAAATGCTAAAAGGAGTTCTTCAAACTGTAAAGAAAAGATGCTAATCAGTGACCCAAAAACACACTCTGCTCTGCTATAGAACTCTGTATTAGCACTATTGCCACTTAACTAAGGTATAAAGGTTAAAGGAAAAGAGTATTAAAATCTACAGCTACTATAATTTGTTAACAAATTCAGAGCATAAAATCAGTGAACTGTGTCATTAAAAACATAAAGGGGAGGAATAAAAGGGCCGAGCTTTTATATAGGAAGAAAGAGAAGCTACTTTCAGCATAAAATGACCTGTTTTATCTCGGAGATATTTTACATAAACCTCATGGTAACCACTGCAAAAATCCAGACTAGATTCACAAAACCTTCAAAATGGAGGGGGGGGAGCACTGAGCAAATCACTATGAAAAAGAATGAGAAGGCAAACAAAAAGATGGCAGTTGCAAGTCCTTATATATCAATAATCACTACAAAGTAAGGACTGAATTATTCAATCAAAAAGTGTAGAGTGACTTAATGGATTAAAAAAACTAAACTAAAACAAGACTGAAGTTTATGTTGCCTACAGAGACTCATTTCAGCTCTCAACACAAAGAGATTCAAAGTGAAGAGATGGAAGAAGATATTCCATGTAAATGGAAATCTATAAAAAGCAAGGGTAGCCATACTTATATCAGAGAAAATAAACTTCAAGCCAAAAACACTAACAAGAGACAAAGAAGGCTGTGATATAATGATAGAGAGTTTGAAATATCAACAGGATAAAACAATACTAGATAAAACAAGATAAAACAAATACTAACAGGTATGAAGGGAGAAAGAGACAACACTACAAAAGTACTAGTGAACTTCAATGCTCTACTGTAAGCAATAGATAGATGATCCAGACAGAAAATCAATAAAGAAACACTAAAATTGAAGCACATCTTAGACTAAATGGTTTAAATGACATATATACATCATTCCAACAAACAGCAGCAGAATACACATTCTTCTCAAGTATACATGAAACCTTCTCTAGGATAGATCTTATGATAGGACACAAAACATCTTAGCAAATTTAAGGAGATTGAAATCATACTAAGGCTCTTTTCTGACCACAATGGTATGAACTAGGAATCAGTAAAAGTTGAGGGGTGCGTGGCTGGCTCAGTCAGTAGAGTGTGCAACTCTTGACATTGGGGTTGTGGGTTTGAGCCCTACTTTGGGTGTAGAGCCTACTTAAAAAAAAAAAAAAAAAAAAGTGAAAATTCTACAAATAGGAGGAAACTAAGGAACACACTTCTGAACAACCACTGTATCAAAGGAAAAATCAAAAGGGAAATAAAAAATTATCTTAAAGGAAAAGGATCCTATGGGATGCTGAAAAGCAGTTCTGAGAAGAAAGTTTATAGTGGTAAATGTATATATTAAAAAATTAGAAAAATCGCAAATTAAAAAGCCTGATTTTACACCTCAAGGAACTAGAAAAAGATCTAAGTCCAAAGTTAGAAGAAAGAAGGTAATAATGATCACAGCAGAAATAAATGAAATACAGACCAGAAAAACAATGGAAAGGATCAATGAAATTAAGAGCTCATTTTTCAAAAAGATAAACAAAATTGACAAACCTTTTGCTAGACTAATTAAAAAAGAAGACTCAAATAGATAAAATTAGAAATCAACTGATACTACAGAAATATATAGGATCTTAAGAGACTATATTAATAATTATGTGCCAAAAAACATAACCTACAAGAATGGATGAATTTCTAGTAACACAATATATACAAAGACTGAATAAAGAGGAAAAAAATCTGAACAGACCAATAACTAGTAAAGTAATTGAATAAGTAATCAAAAACCTAACACAGAAATCTCCAGAACCAGAAGGCTTCACTGGTGAATTCTACCAAATATTTAAAGAAGAATTAATGCCAAGTGTTCTCAAACTATTCCAAAAAATTGAAGAGTGGGGAACACCTCCAAGTTCATTCTTTATTTTTTTTTAAGATTTTTATTTATTTATTTGATAGGTAGAGATCACAAGTAGGCAGAGAGGCAGGCAGAGAGAGAAAGAGGAGGAAGCAGGCTCCCTGCTGAGCAGAGAGCCCAACATGGAACCTGGGACCCTGGGAATGCAGGACCCTGGGATCATGACCTGAGCCAAGGCAGAGGCTTTAACCCACTGAGCCACCCAGGCGCCCCCTCCAAGTTCATTCTATGACACCAATACTACCATGTAACCTAAGCCAGAAAAGAACCACTACAAGAAAGTAAAATTATAGACCAATATCCCTGATGAATATAAATGCAAAAAATGTCAACAAAATATTGGCAAACCAAATTCAAGAACCCATTAAAAAAAATTCAAAACAGATTAAAACACATAATAATGATCATACACCATGACCAAGCAGGATTTATCCCTGGGATGCAAGGATGGTTCAAACATACACAAATCAATCAATGTAATACAGCATATTAACAGAAAGAAAGATTAAAAAATCATGTGATCATCACAATAGATGATGAAAAGGCATTTGACAAAATGCAACATCCTTTCCTGATAAAACCCTCAAGAAATTGGGCATGGAAAGAATACAACTCAACATAATAAAGACTGTACACAACGAACCCATAATTAACATTATACTCAACATAGAAAATTTGAAAGCTTTTCCTCTAAGATCAAAAAAAAGACAAGGATACTCATTCCCCCCACCCCGCCCCTTACACCATACACTACTGGAATTCCTACCTAGAGCATTTAATCAAGACAAAAAAGGCATCCAACATGGAAAGGAAGAAGTAAAACTGCCATTATTTGCAGATGTTTTGATTTTGTATATACAAAATCCCAAAGACTATCAAAAACTGACGGAACTTAAGGAAAGTTGCAGGACATAAAATCTGTGCATGATGAGCAGTTGCATTTCTGTATACTAATAATGCAACATCCAAAAATGAGATAAAGAAAACTATCCTATTTACAATAGCTTCAAAAACAATAAAATACCTAGGAATAAATTTAATCAAGGGAGTGAAAGATCTGTACTTTGAAAAGTACAAGACCTTACTGAAAGAATTTGAAGAAGTCACAAATAAGTGGAAAGACATGTTGTGTTCATGGATTGAAAGAATAGTTACCATGTCCATACTACCCAAAGTCACCTATAGATAGATTCAACACAATCCCCATCAAAATTCCAACTGCTTCAAAGAAACTAAAAACAAAACAAAACAAAACAAACCTAAAATTTGTATGGAACCAGAAAAGACCCTGGATAGCCAAAGCAACACTGGGGAAGAACAAAGTTGAAGGTATCACACTTCTGAGTATACTACACTCCACAGTAATAAAAACAATATGCCACTAG